GCCATGCACCTACTTTATTTTGGTAGAAACTGTTATTTATGTTGATAATTTTTTTCAGGCTGGGCAAGCCACCTCAGTAAGTGTTAGCAGTACACAACGTATAAAAGTTTTAAAGGGGTTAACAATAACATTGAAAATAAACTATAGATGCTTAAGAGTGTATAAATTCTGATAACCTTGGAATACCAAATTGTCCCATTCTTCAAATGTATACATAACTAATTTTGTAATTGTTTTCCAACATTTATAAAAAAATAGGTTGCTGCTTAAAGTCTTGCCGCATATGAACAGTGACGGCTCTGATGTCTAAACGTTTCTCATTATGTAAGGACCACAGAAACCAATTTATAGATTCCCCCCACCCCCGCATAGGCTGCATTATATTTCTTCCGCATATATCACACTACAGTCGCAAAGAATTTGGGACTGCAATCCTTTCTTGACAAAATATCTCCATTTTAGGCACGTATAATGAGTACCATCCTCACAGCTGCAACAAAGTAGTATCTTATTATTTTATCTCACTGTCTGCAAAGTGTGTTTCCAAATACATTGTACGAAAGAAGCAGCACAAAACCCAACTGTATTGTATTCCTGTGGGAGTGAAAAGCTTTGCACTACAGTCTTAGATGAGTACTTGAGGTTGACATGATTAATTTGTGCTTCCTTTTGATAGGCAACTGGTAATACAAGGTTTATCAGCAGCTGGATAGCGACTTCTGCAGAATTAGAGCACAAGTCTCTGTATGGTCTGTCTGCAGTAGGAGGGAACCGGAGGTTGATTGAATCAACCATGATGGATAGAAGCTATGATATTAGTGATGTCATCAGTCACCAGACTTTCAGCTGATAACACTTTTACTATAAAGATACTCTCTTTGAAAAAACGTTCATGCACCAGAGATGTCTGGTTGCAAGCATAGCTTATATATTTTTGGAACATATATTGCTTTAATTTCGAGAACACGAATAAATTTCCTGTACCATGCTATATGCTGGCATAACCCATTATCTCATTTGTTGACCATTATGCCTTAATATGAAGTTGTAGTATGCTTAGGCATTGTGTCTGACTTGATCAAGGCTGTTTAATGCCTTGATCATTCTGGATATTTTACTTTACAGGGAACAAAATAGTCATTCTTATCCTATGATTTTTAATATTTGTGATGTCCTTGCACTATTTTAAAAACTGAATGGTCAGTGAAAAATACTGTGTGTATTTGCTCCAAGGAAGTCCTCTGAAGTACAACGCTTCTTACTCTTTAGTAAGTGGGCTTTGGGTTGAAGCACAATAAATATTAAGAGAGTGAGTGTGTGTGTTAATCCCAATTATCTGTCATAGTGTTTTAATTATGGAATTTTATTCATTGCACAATTTGTGTTTAGCTCATAAGGAACTAATAAATTTATACTGTACTGTCAGAGCAATGCCAGTTTGAAAGAGAAAATAACCCGTTCTAAGGTTACTGTTGTCCATACAATACGGCTTTGTATTCTAAAGTGGTACTTAAACCAGAGAAGACAACTCTAGCAGCTTTTCGGAATCTTGAATCGCCCTTCATACATTCATGCAGTCTTTAATTTATTTTCTCTCTCTTTTTGCATTTGCTCTGGTTACTCTGCATGTTCATATTGATGCCATGCATATATCACATGTAGATCACATAATCCTGGGATTGTAAAAAATAATAAACATTACATTTTCTACACTACTAGACTATGTATTTTTTATTTTTTAAAAAATGTTTCTGATAGTTAACCATTTGAATATCATTAATAAACACAATTCTCTATTTAGATAGATAGATAGATAGATAGATAATAAATAAACATGTAGCTCTCAACGCAATCCTACCTACTCAGAAATAAGTCCTGTTAAGGTCAATGGGGTTTACTCCCAGTTAAGAGGTTACAGGATTGCACCCTTAAACATTTCAATAAAATACTGCTCAAATTAAAATGGGCACATGTTTCATTCATTAAGGTTTCAATCCTATGCACACTTACCAAGGAGTAATTTACTCAGAATTCTAAGTAAAAATGCATAGGATTGGAATGCAAGTCGTTTTTTAAAAAATACTGTAATTTGCAAGAAAAATGAATGTGTTTCTGGACGACATTATGGCATAACGTCCCCTGTTCTAAGTTAAAGAGCTACTTTAAGCTACAGGTCTTTATTATTTACTACCTGATATGAATAAATCACAGTTATCTGCCCTGTACAATATGATCTCCAGTTGACTGCTATGCTTCTCTATATCTAGGCAAATCCATAGCATTAAATATTGCATGGCATTGAGATAGTCTCCTATCTGTAGGCATGCAACTGAACATTTAGCGGAGTCTTTTCTCAGTTTAGCATTCAGAGGTGCTATCCTAATCAGATGGAAGTTCATCCCTAGAAGAGCGATTTTCCCACCAACTCCAGTGATTCCATGAACTCTTTCTGCATGTAGCCTTGAAAAATCTGCTGCCAATTAGAATAGACCATCTGCTGTCTGTTAGGTTATAAACAATGCTTAGCTAGGTAGACCAGTGCTTTGATGCCATATAGAAAGCTTCAGATGTTTTGATTATTAAATAGTGCTATGCAGTTTCAGAGCAATGGGGCAGGTTATCTCCTTGAGCATAAATCTTTATGAGGTCCTATGAATCTTCTATCATAATATTGCCTTTCTATACAAGTGGTTTTCTAATGCAGTTATCTTACCCGCACACGTGGTTTTCCATTCCACATAGCTGTTACATTCTGTCTGCCCCAGTGCAATGCTGAAAAACCCATGTTTTTCACAAAAGGCATGCAAAAATGATGCATCTAGTCTCTGATGAAAAACATTATATACACAGTATACCAGGAAATCCCTTTCAAAAAATTTTTTTGCATTACCTAGTCATTTAATTGGGGCTGGAGCAAAATCATTTCTTGGTGGATTGTGCCCTGTGAGTGGAATCAAGATATTCTAAGGCACATATTAGCAGATAGACACCATACCGTTCCTGACCGCATGCTGCTCCCACAGCCATATATATAATACTGCTACTCTATCAGTAATAACAATCCTATCTTAAGATTGTTAGGACAAGATGCAACCGTGTTTTGGTACAGAAAGAGTTAACTCACACAATGCCAAAAATGTTAGCTTTAGAAATCAAGACCTGCATGGGTAAAAACTCCAAAAATTATCGTATTTGCAGTAAAGACTTAACATTGTCTCTCTAATACTCCACCAATTACAAAATCACTTGATGGATATATTAAAAAGAAACTGCTGAAATTTGTGGAACCCTCATTATACAAAAATATGTCAAAGACGGTTTCCTAATGACTGTGGTATGTCATCTTGGAAGCAGGTTATTCATTTACTTTGATGCTCTAAAAATATTTGGCAGCTCAGCTCTCTAAATATATTTACATGGGAATATGCTATACTAATACCGGTGAGCCTTAGTTCAAAGTAAGTATGTTGAAGAGTCTGCAAATATAATTATACGTTAATATAACTTCTTGCTTTAGTTTATATTGATTAACAAAGTAAGTTGTAAATCTGATGACAACTTAAATGTCTGTGCCTAAGGCCAACTGATAAACCAGGTACTTTAAATGAACCCTACGATGCAAATGTACCTTAACACCTTGAAGTGCTTTGTCTGGCTTTTGTAAAATAATAATAATAGTATTTCTACAAGAGACAGAAAAAAATGATAATTACTAATATTATCCTAGAGCTTATGAATCGTGTTCTCTACAGTTAAAACAACAAACTTAAAAAGTTCTCCAGACAGGTGTAAACTGCTACAAAACAGAGCAAAACGATTAACAGGATAACTACAGTACATATATTTACAGTACTCAAAACAGTTGCCTCTTTTGCTCGCAACAGTCAGATCCACAGCTGTACGAGAAACGAAGCAGGTATTTCAAAATTCCTGCTTTTGCAAAGGTGTTTGGAAAAGGAGGGAGGGGCATTGAGAAAGTCTCACTGTTAAATAGTAGGTGCTAACCTGGTACAAAATGGAAATCCACATTAATCTAATATACGTCTAATAAATGGAAGGAAGCAAAACAGATGACCACCCCCCCGGCCCAAAAAAGGGCATAAGGCACAACTTGGAAAGTATTTACACAGGAATAAATGAAATCAAACCTCAGGGTTTATAAAGCCTCTTTTTCCCAGAGATTCATAAAACAATTCCTCTACTCTTTAACCTCTCCCTCCAGTCATTCAATAAAGCGACTAGTCTCCAAACAGAATAAAAATCTCAGGATATATGAGGCTCTGGAAGTTACCAGCCTTGCTCTTTATGAAAGGAGTTAGGCAGAGAAATCAATAGTCTCTCACAGATGGCCCCCGCATCTCCTCCTGCAGATATTGGGGGGGGGGGGGAGATGCAGGGTGAGGATTAAAATAATAAGGAACAGACAGTGTGAGGGTTTCAAAGAGAAGACTTGACACATCTCATTGATCCACGCTGCAGTACATATGGGTTAGTTAAACACAAATGTAGTGCCATTTCTCATTTTCCCACAATTTCACACCAATATGCCTTCTTATTTGAAGAGAATGTTCCTTATTTTTATTTCAGGGAAACAATTCTTATTTCTGCACCTCACTGCTGGGGGGGGGTGGTTCCCCTTCTTTCAGACCCCCCTCATCACACCATAGCTAGATCTACCTGTACCTGGAGTTCTAGAAAAGCAGGTATCCCAAAGCCCAGTACACTTCTTCAAATAATATATTTTTAAATCACCTTAGAAACCAATCAGGAATCAACTGGAATTGAGGTAGACAGTTTACCACCACTGGGTTTTTTGGAATCTCTCTTAGACTGAAGTGGGCAGGGGGTAGGAGTCTTTTCAAGAACAAACATATATTGTGCACAAAACCACCCCCTTGTACTCTTTGTGTTAACTGATCTAATACAACCACCATCACAAGATTTCCGACTCAACAAGGTCTTAGTAAAGGTACAGTCCCCTTTTCATCCATCACCTTGCAATGGGTGTTCGCCAAACATCCACCCTGGATTCCAGAGAGCACAGTTCAAGAATGCTACCAAGGCATAAACCAACCAGTGTCAGGTATGCACCCAAATATTGAGGTCACATTTCTCCACAACTTCGCTCGTCTACCCACCACACCACCTACCCCAAACTCTGTCCAGATATAAAAAGACAGCTTCTCAGGTCGAGAGATTTACTGTGTTAAGACGAGGAAAGAGGACCCAGGTTCCACGTCTCCCAGCTTATGCCAAATGCCCACACAGCCCCAGGGCACATACACACAGCCTTTTTATTCCAGATTAAGCAATCCAGAATAACCTCGCCAACATCACCTACATCACCCATTAGCGTGAACCGACCGACATATCCCCTCTTAACCACACTAGTGAAAGTAGAGGCGGGTGGTTCTGGTTACTGGGCGTTAAAAGGCGCGTAACTAATCCACTTTGGCTGAGCCCAGCCCATGCGGAAAAGGAAGCCCTGGCGGCGGCGGCGGCGGCGCCTTTCCTCACCTACCTGCAGACCCGCTTCCTTAAGGAACCACCTAGCGATCCTCCTTCAGGTCCCGGAGGGAAACTCCAGCTTTATCGGACTTGCATCGCTTACAAATCCCAAATTCGCCTGCAGCATCCAGTGGCATGGGGGCGGGAGAGAGAGGAGAGAGAGCTGGTTCAAAAGAGAGCGGGCTACTTTTATGTGTCTAAATAAGATTCGGAGGCGAGTTCAAAACAAACCAGAAGGCCAACGGGGGCGGGGGGGGGGGAATTTGGGGTTGTGCTATAGATCTGCTTTGCACGGTTTCCAAACCACAACCGTACAAAACGTTAAAAGGGGGGGGGTGCGCGAGAGAAAAACGCCGCTTTCAAGCTTCTCTCTTTTTCTTTCGCCCCTCGGAAAAAGCAAGTTAGTCCCGCAGCCCCGCGCTGCTCTCCACCCTTTGGCTGCTCAGCGACGCCCCGATCCACTCAAGAGAGATTTTTTTTTTTAGGAAAGGAAAAGAAAAGAGCAACAACTCCGGACTATTGCAGAGAGATCTCCCCGCGCTCTGTTATTCCATTTGTGGTTAGTTTGCTTTGCTTTCAGCACGCGGGGCCACTTTCGGCCAGTTTGCCTCCCTCCATTCTGCTCCCTTTCCCGGGGAATAAAGCGGGCGGAGGAAATTCTTCCTTCAGCGCAGCCAGTCTGCTCGTAGTTCTCCAGGTCGCTGGCTTAGCTAGCTGCTGCTGCTGCTGCTGCTGCTTCAGGCGGGCGATTCGACGGCACCTCGCTCTCCTTCTCCCCTGAAAGCGCGGGGAACCATCTGCGTGGCTGGGGCGGGCAAGCAGGCAGGCAGCGGGGAGAAAGCGCCCACGTCCCGATGAGGCGGCAGATGGCGCGTCCTTTCGGTGAGGGGGGGACACTGTTTCTCCACCCCACGCCTTGCTCCTGCGGGGTGCAAGGTCCACAGACGGGCGAGAGGTCGGGCGCCCCGTCCCCGTTCCAGGACCTCTTCTGGCCGCCGAGGGTCCCTCACGCAGGCAGCCGCCCAGCCCGCCCCGTCCCCGTCGCAAGAGCAGCCTCCCGCATCTGCCCCAAGCCCGGGAGCGCTGCTACGATCCCGGGCAGGCGCGTCCTCTTGAGGCGCCGGGGCGGGCTGTGAAGGGAGGCGAGGAGAAAAGGCAAACGCCGAGTAACGAGGAGCCGCTACGTCGAGGGAGAGGCCGGTCCTCCTCCTGGCGCGCTTCTTCCGCGCGGTGCGGGGCTGCGGTGCCGACGCCTCCCTCCCCGGGGGAGTTGCTTTTCCCGCCTCTCCCCGGAGGCGCGAGTGGACGGGTGGGGATCCTTCCCGGGGAGCTGAAATCCCATCCAGGAAGGCGGCAGAAACCCGAAGGCGAGCGGCTGGCCGAGCGGAGAGCGGGAAAAGAGTGCGGCGCCAGGCTCAGGCGGGCTCCCCTTCTCCCTCTTCTCCCGCTCGCTTCACTCCACTCCTTTCTTCGGGCTGGGGAGAGAGCGCCTGCTGGCAGAGGCGGGAAAAAGGCAGCCGCCTCCAAATGCTGGCCTCTGTCTCCCTCCAGCGTTTGTCTTCTTCTTTGGCGATCACTCGAGTAAGATTGTCTTCCATAAACACAGTTTTAACAGTGAGTCCATAAGTGACTGTGGAGGCCAGTTCTGGATCCACAATTCCTTCCACAGTGGGGACATAGGTTTCTGGGCGGGAGTTGATCACGGTGAGGGTTTGCCAAGCGTGCCATCTTCCTCTCAGCACCTTTCTCCCTTTCGTCCTGGGTTTGAGCGTCTTCAAAGCCTATGACACCTTTGGTTGTTCTCCAGTTGGAGCGCTCGCAGGCCAGTGTTTCCCAGTTGTCAGTGTCAATACTACATTTTTAAAGATTTGCCTTGGGAGAGTCTTTAAACCTCTTTTGTTGACCACCAGCATTACGCTTTCCATTTTTAAGTTCAGAATAGAGTAGTTGCTTTGGAAGACGATAATCGGGCATCTGAACACCATGACCAGTCCAAGTTGATGTTGAAGAATCATCGCTTTGACACTGGTGATCTTTGCTTCTTCCAGCACACTAGCCTGTCTTCCCAAGTGATGTGTAAATTTTTCCAGAGACACCGTTGATGGACCCTTTCACTGCCTCTTGTGGGAGTAAATTCCAGAAGTGAACTATGCACCACCATGTGAAGAAGTACAGTGATACCTCGGGTTAAGTACTTAATTCGTTCTGGAGGTCTGTACTTAACCTGAAACTGTTCCTAACCTGAAGCACCACTTTAGCTAATGGGGCCTCCTGCTGCCGCCGTGCCGCCGGAGCACGATTTCTGTTCTCATCCTGAAGCAAAGTTCTTAACCTGAAGCGCTATTTCTGGGTTAGAGGAGTCTGTAACCTGAAGTGTATGTAACCCGAGGTACCACTGTACTTTAATCTGTCCTAAATCTTCCCACATCTAGTTTCTTTTATTGCCCCTGAGTTCTAGTTATTAGAGAGGAGAAAAAACTTATCTATCCATTTTTTTCCATGCCATACATAGTTTATACACCTCACCCCTAAGAAAATAAGAGTAGCCTTGCTGGATCAAGACAATTCAATTAGACTTATGTTTGAGTAGATGCATATAGTACTGTGCTGCAAGGGTTCAGCGTGAGAATAAGTCACAATGGCATCTCTATTAGAGCTAGACCTGTTTCCAGATTTATGTAGTGGTTAAGAGCAGTGGACTCATAATCTGGGGAACCAGGTTTGTGTCTCCGCTCCTCCACATGCAGCTGCTGGGTGACCTTGGGTCAGTCACCCTTCTCTGAGAGTGTTTGCTGTGGGGGATGAAGGGAAAGGAGATTGTTAGCCGCTTTGAGACTCCTTAAGGGGGAGTGGAAGGCGGGATATCAAGTCCAAAACTCTTCTCTCCTCTTCCTGGGCAGAGCATTCCACAAACAGGGAGCCACTGCAGAAAAGGCCCATTCTTGTGCTGCCACCCTCCAGACCTCTCGTGGATGGAGCACACAAAGAAAGACCACAGATGATCATAGGTTCCTGGTGCTTCATTTATGTTTTTAATGATGTCTTTACTGATGCTTTTACAGTGGTACCTCGGGTTAAGAACTTAATTCATTCTGGTGGTCCATTCTTAACCTGAAACTGTTCTTAACCTGAGGTACTACTTTAGCTAATGGGGCCTCCCGCTGCTGCCGCTGCACGATTTCTATTCTCATCCTGAAGCAAAGTTCTTAACCCAAGGTACGATTTCGGGTTAGCGGAGTCTGTGACCTGAAGCGTTTGTAACCTGAGGTACCCCTTTATTATAATCTTGCATGTTGTATACCTCCTTGTTATAGCTATATAAAAGTGCAGATTATAAATACTTTAATTAATAAATAACTCTTGACAAAGTATTGAAAGGGCATGTATTCGGAGAGGCCTTAACATTGAGAAATGTGGCATCACAGAATGCCAGAAAAATACAAGTGTTTTGTCTGCTCAATAGTTTGGGGACTGGGTTATCGAATCCCTACTGCATGGGGCTCCAAATCCCTGCCATAATTCATCTGTACAGTGGAACCTCTACTTACAACCATAATCCGTTCCAGAGGTCCGGTCATAACTAGAAACGTAGAGGCGCACTTTTCCATAGAAAGTAATGGAAAAGTGAATTGATCCGTTCTAGACAATGAAAAACAGCCCCTAAAACAGCAATTTAACACGCATTTTACTGTCTAACGAGACCATAGATCCATAAAATGAAGGCAATAATCAATGTACAGTACTATAAAATAAATAAGACAGTATTGTAAATGAAAAAAATTAACATTTTTTCTTACGCACACTGAGGGTGGGTGGGCTTACCTGGCTACAAGCTGGGGGTGGGGCAAGGGACAGTAAAGAGCTGGTTCACTTTGGCCAGAGTCACTTTTTCTTCTTGCCAGGCCAGGTTTTTCTCTGGACTTCCTCAGGTTAGTTCCTGGGGGGGGGAGCTGCAGCGCACCCTGCTGTGCCTCTTGCAGGCAGCACCTCTTCCACAGCTTTGGGGGTGGGATGGGGGCCCTCTCCCCGGCAGCAGAGGCCCCAGCGCTGCTCCGCAGCCGGCCAGGCGAGCTCCGGTCTGCCAGCAAGGCCTCTGTTCGTATCTAGAGGAAAGTACATAAGTCGAAGCGCCTACTGAAAGTCGTGACTGGAATCATACGTAAGTAGAGCCGTACGTAAGTCGAGGTTCCACTGTACTAGCCAGCCCCTTTGGCGAGAGTTGGTGCACAGAGTAAATTTCATGAGCAGCCCAGGATTTTAAAACTTCACAGCAATAAGGTTGTGGCAGCCCTGAGATTGGAAAGCAGCTTCAGAAGCTAAACTGGGAGCAGGCTTAATGAATGCCTGGAGGATTTTAGCCAGAGTAGCAGTGCTGACTTGTGGCGGGACTGTTGAATCTGCTTGTGGAAAAGACATATTTTAAGAACTGTCAGGAGGAAATTGCATAGCCTCATTTAAACACGTTTTCAGTGGTAAAGTGGTCTGGCACCCAGCCCTTCTCTGGTGTCCAGAGTCCTGCAAAGCACTAAAAGTGTGGCGGTCAAACCAAAACAGAAATCAAACAAAAAGCAGAAAAAGCAGGTACAGTGGTACCTCGGGTTACATACACTTCAGGTTACATACGCTTCAGGTTACAGACTCCGCTAACCCAGAAATATTACCTTGGGTTAAGAACTTTGCTTCAGGATGAGAACAGAAATCGTGCTCTGGTGGCACAGTGGCAGCGGGAGGCCCCATTAGCTAAAGTGGAGCTTCAGGTTAAGAACAGTTTCAGGTTAGGAACGGACCTCCAGAACGAATCAAGTTCTTAACCCGAGGTACCACTGTATGTGTAAACACAAACTGTCTTATTTCCTAAGTGGTCAAACTACTTCACATACTTTATCTTACCTTAGTTACCTCCACAACAACCATGTATGAACATTATTCCCATGTTCAGAAGAAGCAGTAATACTGATTAGAGATGGCAGCTCAATCCACTCAATTGTTTAATAGTTGAGTGGAGAACCAAACCCAGGGATATTTCCACATCATAGCTCATTCTCTCAACCACTACAAAGCAGCACTCACTAATTCTGGAAAAAAACCGAATGAGCAGGAACAAATTATACAAATACATTGAAAGCAATATGAACCAACAGCTCACAAAACAGAAATGAATAGCATTTGTCTGCAGGTCTGGACTTAGCACTGTTAAATGCAATATGACTGATATTCCAAAGTTCTTGCAAAATAAAATAATTTTAAAAGTTTCTTCCCATTTTCTCTTTGGTCTTTCTCCTAGTCTTAGGTTTCTACTTTTCAAAGAGAGAGAGAGAGACTGGTGCTTTCTTAGTTCAACTTTTCGTAGAACATAACACAATTGGTGTGGCAACTTCTTATTATAACTATCCACATCTGAACTACTCTGTAAATTTCACCTCAATCAGAAAAGGAAATAACAGGTTGCTGGCAGGGTGTGTGTGTGTGTGTGTGTGTGGAGTAAATAAGAGTACTAGTCTGCTTCTGCCACTAGATTTGAATTAATATTTTTTTCATCCCAGTGCATTCTATACTTTGAGTCTTGATGTATTTCTTCAAAGGGGAACAAAAATAGATAGTCATGGTAGACACAATTCTCACCTTAATCATTTTCATAAGAAAAATGGAAGTGCAATGCTAGAACAAATAGAATGAAGAGGATATGATATATTCTCTCAAAACACTAAAACACAGAGCTGCCATTTCAGAAAAAGCATATTAGAATTCACCTGCAAGGCCTTTCCAGCACTAAAATAAAAACCCATTCTTTCCTAAAGTAAAATATAAATTCGCTTGTTCACAGTAATTTTAAGTACAGATTGCATTTTATATTGACTATGTTTGACACACCCTCATTGTTGCTTTTCTAAGCAGTCAGTTCAAATGCCATGAACACCACATGGAGAACACTGAAAATGCTTCTTTGTGGAGACAGTTCAGCTTGCCAGATGGATCTGCCCGGTCAACTGGAGTTCTTCCACATCCTTCCCAGTGGTCGGATCCAGTTGTTCTGCCGCAAGTGAGGAGTGCGAAGGTGTGCCGTATGCAAATAGAGTACCGACTTCAGTTTCTGCTGAGTAAGTCTAATATTAAATTATGCTAATGAGCGCTAATGTGTCTTGGTAATGCTGCTTCCTTCGTCAGCACCACAAGAGATGACCAAATTAGGATGACTTAAATGGGTTAGAGAAAAAAGCATTTGCGTGTTCCAGAGTTCCCAAGTTCCTTTTACATACTTTGGGAGAGTTTCTAACTGACCAATAAGGACTATCTGATTCCTTATGGTTCCTGATGGTTCTCCACACCCCTGAAGTTTGGTTGGCCTTCACTAGGGACAGATCCTGCCCTGTGAAACTCCCTACCAACAGAGGTTCCGTAGGAGCCAACCCTCCCTCCCTTCAGAGGTCTTTTGAAAACTATCATGTTTAGACAGGCCTTCGTCATATGAATTTTCCTTTCTAACCAATCAGTATTTATCAGTGCTTTTAATGATGTTTTTCTATGGATACTTTTATTTGTTTTATTTTCATATGCTGCATACCGCCTTGAAATATTAACTGCAAATTACCAGCTGTAGCTTTCTTACACTGTGCTCATCGGCTTTTGGGTTTGAATACTGTTCCCAGGCAATGTGGGATGGTTCAGAAGCAAAAAAAAGGCTAGGAGCAAACTTAAATTGACAGCAGGTCTGAGCTCCTCAGTAACACCCATCCCCTAGCATCATTTTTATCAGACAACACAGGCATAAGGTAGGCTTGCAATATGTCAGGTGCCAGCAAAAACTGGAAGTTTTTTAGCAGCGGCAATTAGAATAAGATCTAGTATTTAATTACAGTGGTACCTTGGGTTAAGAACTTAATTCGTTCTGGAGGTCTGTTCTTAACCTGAAACTGTTCTTAACCTGAAGCACCACTTTAGCTAATGGGGCCTCCTGCTGCCGCTGCACCGCTGCTGCGCGATTTTTCCGTTCTCATCCTGAAGCAAAGTTCTTAACCCGAGGTAATATTTCTGGGTCAGCAGAGTCTGCAATCTGAAGCATATGTAACCCGAGGTACCACTGTACTGATTTAAACCTCCAAAATGTATTTTCTATAGTTAAGCTTTTTTTTGCCGAAAAAGCATCAGAAACAGCTCAAAAAACGCTTACAATAACTATTTTGGGGGTAGGTTTCACCAAAGAAAACCTTAACAATTTTGGTGGGTTTCTTTGCGGGTGCCAGGAATTTTACTTTTTGAAATATGGCACCCATACCATAAGGTAGTAGTTTTTTTCTTTAGTGCCAACAGGCCAGAACTACAGTTGGGGATTTGCCTCTCCTAGAAGTTACATTAGCAGTAACTCTGAAAACAGGTCCAGCTCTAGTAGAGATGCGATTGTGACTTATTCTCAAGCTGAATTCTTTCAGCACAGTGTCTACTCAAAAGTAAGTCTAACTGAATTAAATGGCTCTTACTCCCAAGTAAATGGGGTTAGGATGGCAGCCTTAATTACATGAGCTGCTGTGTCTCAGTCTTTAGTATCTCACAGAATCAGCCCCAAAGTCAGTCTTCAATAAGCAAATGTGAATGAGATCCTGCGATGCCATGAATGTACTTAAATGTGGTTCATAAATCTCAAATTTTAAATTCAACATCTTAAGTTGTTATAAAAACATTTGTACACTGTCAATTTAAATTTAACTTTTAGCTCCTCAATCCTTCCTCACAAGGGAATTCTTAAAAGAAGCCATCGTTGCCGTGTATTTAATTATAAATTACTTTGGCAGCACTTCCATTCTATAATTAAGCAAACAAAGGGAGAAAAAAGTGATCCTACGCTTGCAAGGACTTAGACAAAGCAATTAAAATGGTTAGCAGAAAGGAAATGAGTGTTTCTTAAGACTCTTTCAGCAGGAAGAAATTGTGTAAGAAGACATGATAACTCATCAGCAAGAAGGATTAGTTTTCACTGTGGAGATTCATGGTACCATTTATTATCTCTCCAGATACCATTTTTGTAATCTGTAAAGTGTCATTTTAGACACAGGCTTCACAAATCCTGGTGGGTTCTCTTTTTTTATTAAAAAGTTGTCAGATCATAAGGAGCCAGGTAACTCCATCCCATTAGAATGGAGTTCTCAAACAAAGAATTGCTCAAAAGTTTTGAGCCCAATCCAGCTAAGACCCATTCACATAAGCAGATAGAACTTTCTGGATCAGAAAACAAAGTCATAAATATATGAATCCACATCTATCTGCACTGCACAGCTTTTTAATGGAAGCCCCGTCAAATGTGCAATTGAATGTGGATCTCCATCAACATCCTGGCACAACTAATTATGCCCGAACATGAAATGATGCAGATTAGTTTCCTATAGAAAGAAACACTTAGTGTTCTCCTATGAAACAGTTTGTGCATTTATTTCTTGATGCAATCCTCATTGATGCATTATCTGTTTACTTACTTGTTCAGATCTTTATTATTTCATATACTAAAGGTTTGGGGAGGATCGCAGCATTTAATATCTTTAGTGACCGTGAATATAGTAAATAAGACAGAGGGAAGAGAGAGAGAAAAAGTAGAGCGTGTTTTTGCTCTTAACCCTCTATGTTTCAGCCCAGAATATAAATCGGAATAATACATATTTATGAGCTCATATGTATTCATAAGGAAGCATTACCTGCTGCCTTAAAATGCTGTTATAAACATTATTACTGGTGTTCATGTTTGATGATGCTCTGAGAGTACCTGAGGAGCACAATAATGATAATTACAAATGGATGTACATCACGATGCTATCACTTTCCACTGAACCCAGAAACAGTAATTGCAATCCCCACCCCAGGATGAAGGGGTGGGATTTGAAATTAGTTTCAGCAAGGATGTTGTCTAGTACCCTCATCCTAAAGCATAATTTGATTAAAAATATTAACAGGTAGGTGATCATCTTTAAATACTCCAAGCTGGGTGTGTCAAGAGAATTAGCAAAGGGGCAACTTTCACCCTTTCAGGAAAAACAATGGGCATTTGCATTCCGAAATAGTTCTGAATTATTTTCCTGATTGGCAAAAGGGGACTCAAGTTTACTCAAACCAGGTGACTGGTTGCTTAAATACACAACTATGTATCCCCAACACCACAAAAGAAAGTTATCTTCCAAAATGGCACAAGACTTTCAAGTAGAAAAACACTGCAACTAAACAATATTCTGTGGGAGAGTCTTCAGGTTATTTAATTAAACGTGTAACAAAATCTATAGATGATATAAAGCAATAAAGCATCACTAGTGCTGGGGTAACTGGGCCAGTGGCTTTTCTTCTTCTTTCTAAACCACACATAGTGGCATGGCAACAAGCCATGTGGCAGAGACTCATTCACACAGTGAGTTGGTACACAAACAGCAAATAACTTGTGTTGTTAGACAGATACATATGGCACGCAAAATATATCAATAAATTTCTACCCCCCACTCTTCAACCCTAAAGGAGCCCATTGCAGAATACACACTGCTTAAGGTGTGTATTTATTTTATACAGCGTGTTTTTGTGGGATAGCCAGACTCATGTAACCAACATGCTTAAGTTTAATTAATGCATGAAGGGGTTAATGCCATAGAGTAAGCTGTCCTGCCAGGCTTAGCTAGGTCACTGCCCCTCACCTTGGGAAGAAATGAGCAATCAAGCCTACAGTTCACCTTCCAGGCTAAGCTGCTTGTTCTAGCTTAGCTGCATAGTTTTCACAAGGCATTTTTGTGTTCCTGGGAAACCCAGTCAGATGGGCGGGGTATAAATTTATTATTATTATTATTATTATTATTATTATTATTATTATTACTGTACCAATAATTTAGGAACTTTCACCACTGTAAAAAGCCAAGTTTTACTGCCTGTGCAACTTTCAGAAGCACATGAATCTGACCTTTGAAGAGTTTGTAAGTAAACCCTTTTTAACTGACCAAAGGTGTTTTTTTTATTCCTGTGCTAGAGGAAGAGGGAAGTTTTGCAGCTCACAAGGGCATATTTTAAAGGTCTAACAGTCTATATGTCCATGTTTTACTTTGCTGCATATTTTGTGATTTTAAATCAATTTTAAATTGCTGCCAGGATTTTCTCACCAAAGCGTACTTCCCCCAAATTTGGATCTTAGAATTCTCCTTTTATACTTACATGTGTTCCTTGAACCAACAGTTTTTAAGCCAACAAACGTAGAAATCTTTCATAGAAAACAAGCATAGTAGAACTGGAGATGGTATAATATTTTTTTAAGGTTCCACGGAAAGAAAAGGTGCTGCCTGTTAAGGTGTTTCAAGGTTACACAGGGAGAAAGTTGTAGTGGAAGGGGCAAAAAGAGTGGAGACAAAAATAATTTTGAAAGCTATCCTATGAATGTCAAGGTCTAATCCCTTCTGCATGTGGTTCTTGGCATTTTCTACACACCAGACCAAAAAGTAAACAACCCATGAATGAATATTGACAGCATATAAAAATATGTTAATGATGTGGAGATGATATTCCGGAAAAAGATGAACTGATAAATAGAAAAATCAAAAACACTGCAACACATTGGTGCTGGTGATAATAATTACACCATTCTAGAGACACGCCAATTACTTTTACACATAAACAAGGGGGGGAATCAATTAATTTTTCTGATTTATAATATTTATAACACCAAAGAAGAAAGCTAACCTTGCAGCCAAGCTTGCCAACTGCAGCTCACAAATTGCCCTAATAAACAACATAGGTTTATTGACCCGTAATCTGCAAACTGCTGGGAGGAGCAGAGAAAGAAGAAGCACCATGGTACATCTGCAGCAGAACAACTGGATTCCTTCATCTGCCCCAACTGCAGCAAAACATGTCTCTCCCTTATCAGTCTCTAAAGTCACAGCAAGACCTGTAAATCTCCAATGGTTTGACTTCACCCCTAAAGGCGCACTCCTTCCTTGTCTCCCGAGACAGATGGATGCCAACAAAGTCTGCAAACACCCACTCCAAATGGAATTCAGTATGAATGCGCATCTAGGTATAGGCCAGATCAGGGATCCAGTGTCTCTACTCGGCTGCTGCCACCTCCTCGTACATTCATTCACGGGCCACTCATGTTCCTAGGACTGTATATGACATGCAGAACCTGTTGCCTGCTCAAAAAGCTGTGATAGTTTTTAATGGTGAACACAGATGGGCAGTGTAACCTTTGCTGGTTCGCTAACACATTTCTGTGAACTGAAGGAGATTTGGAACCAATGTAACTTGTTTTTTCAATGCCCTATCACTCCCTGAAATGCTCCTCTTGTGTGGTTGTGCTGGGGCATAGCCCTGGCTCAGCTGAGGTAGGCGTTTCCTGCTAGCGTAGTCTCTGGCTCTCTGGTGAGCCAGGATGGAGAATTTATGTGAGTGTAACCCTGGCTCGCAGGTGGCGCTGTGGGTTAAAGCCTCAGCACCTAGGACTTGCCGATCGAAAGGTCGGCGGTTCGAATCCCTGCGGCGGGGTGCGCTCCTGTCGTTCGGTCCCAGCGCCTGCCAAACTAGCAGTTCGAAAGCACCTTCGGTGCAAGTAGATAAATAGGGACCGCTTACTAGCGGGAAGGTAAACGGTGTTCCCGTGTGCTGCGCTGGCCTGCCAGAGCAGCGATGTCACGCTGGCCACGTGACCCGGAAGTGTCTGCGGACAGCACTGGCTCCCGGCCTATAGAGTGAGATGAGCGCACAACCCTAGAGTCTGGCAAGACTGGCCCATACGGGCAGGGGTACCTTTACCTTTACCTTTAACCCTGGCTCGGGACGCGGGTAGTGCTGTGGGTTAAGCCATAGAGCCTAGGGCTTGCCGATCACGAGGTCGGCGGTTCAAATCCCCATGACAGGGTCAGCTCCCGTTGCTCGGTCCCTGCTCCTGCCAACCTAGCAGTTTGAAAGCACATCAAAGTGCAAGTAGATAAATAGGTACCGCTCCAGCGGGAAGGTAAAGGGTGTTTCTGTGCGCTGCTCTGGTTCGCCAGAAGCTGCTAAGTCATGCTGGCCACATGACCCGGAAGCTGTATGCCGGCTCCCTCGGCCAGTAAAGCGAGATGAGCGCCGCAACCCCAGAGTCAGCCATGACTGGACCTAATGGTCAGGGGTCCCTTTTACCCTTTACCTTTACCTAACCCTGGCTCAGCTAGGACAACCCAAGGTCTCCTGGATCCTAACCTCACCATCCCAGCAGATCTGGGAGTTTGGACTGTGGTGTGCTTAATCTAAAGGGGGGAAATGTTGGTTTGCTTTTTATAAAAACACAATTATGAGACTGCATGGGATTGTTATGTTGTATCAGTGTAAGAATATTCATAGAGGATGCGGACAATACAACCCCCTTAAATTGGAAAAGTTGGGTTTGTGCCAATCCAATCCACAATCCACTTAAATTGGAAAAGTTGGGTTTATGCCAGGTTAGTTGCATTGATCAAATGCCCTAATAAACTAAGTTGGATACATTAGAGGGTTGCATTTCAAAAAGCTGTTGAACAAACCAAATTTGTTACAGATGCAGGTACAATGCCGGCTTGCAGATTAATGATGAATAGAGCCATTACTTCAAGATACCTGCAAGGATAGCCTTACTGATGGAGTCGGCAGTTTAAATGTTTGCATTAACTATTTGGAGAAGACTTAACATTTGCAAGTGTATTAGGAATACTACAGTATATTGGTTTAACCTTAATATCTGGAATTATACACCGCTACGCTGCTGTTTCAAACAAGTGTTATATCTGGATACAGGACGGTAATTTGTTCTGGAGGAGTATTTTTTTAAAAAAAAAATCCAGTTGGGCAGCTGGCAACTGACAGAAGACATGAAAAGTCTGGGGCATAAAAAAAGAAACTGCCTATATTTGAACTCTAGAGTCCACATAGTTAAGTTCTCAGAACATGAAATATTTTCTGTTTATGTTTTTAACAGAGTCTTCAGATTAACTTTCCATCCACTTCTGGGCTTATTCCAGCTACATAAAGGCAACCCAATGCCATCTGGCTACAACAGATGTGCCAGAAAAAAATGAAAAGTAATGGGCCAAGAGTACAGAACCCATCAGTAGATTGGAAATGTAAACAATGAAAAGTCATTAACACGAAAAAAATGTAAACATGAAAATAACACATTAAACAGAGCGAGGAGGGAAACCCTAACAAAACAAATATGCAAGCAAAATGAATACTATACTATTAAAGCAGGCCTTAATTCTTTAGACAGAAAATCAGAAGCAGCAGATGAAACAGAAAATAGTAATGCTTAGCATTGATATTTCCCTTTAGTTCCGTATGTTTGAAACACTTCCCATACATTTTTTAAAAGTAACCTTCACAACATCTTTGTTATAAGATTGCAGCTAGGATTGTAATTTACACGGAAATCATTTTCAAGGAGCTCCACACAGAATTGCTTAAACTGTTTTAACGAGTGTGGCTCACTTCCGTTTTAAGGAATTTTAAATCTGAGAAGTGGCTAGAGTAAGAGCCAGTGAAGTCCTGAAGACAGGATATGGACACATAGCTGGGAAGATCTGAGTTCAAATCCTTTTCAAGTAAAAAAAAATTCCCTAAGTGGCCTTATGCAAAAATGCACCTCTCCCTCTGCCACTTTCCTACTTAAGTGTGCATCTTGGAGGAAGGAAAGGATGCAATTACAAATCCTTGGTGGAGGCAATTACCGTATTTTTTGCTCTATAAGACTCACTTTTTCCCTCCTAAAAAGTAAGGGGAAATGTGTGTGTGTTTATGGAGCGAATGCAGGCTGCGCAGCTATCCCAGAAGCCAGAACAGCAAGAGGGATCGCTGCTTTCGCTGCGCAGCGATCCCTCTTGCTGTTCTGGCTTCTGAGATTCAGACTATTTTTCTCTCTCGTTTTCCTCCTCCCAAAACTAGGTGCATCTTGTAGTCTGGTGCGTCTTATAGAGCGAAAAATATGGTAATAATAAAACCAGTTTGTTTGTAGTGGGTATCTTCCATATTATATCTAGACATGGCCATATTTGGGAGATCATTCTGATGATATGTTGATGTCCAAGTGGAATCTAAACATGTGTTAGTACATCATTTATGAAGTTCCCTATAACAAGTAAGGTAAAGGTAAAGGTACCCCTGCCCGTACAGGCCAGTCTTGACAGACTCTGGGGTTGTGCGCCCATCTCACTTAAGAGGCCGGGGGCCAGCGCTGTCCGGAGACACTTCCAGGTCACGTGGCCAGCGTGACAAAGCTGCATCTGGCGAGCCAGCGCAGCACACGGAAACGCTGTTTACCTTCCCGCTAGTAAGCGGTCCCTATTTATCTACTTGCACCCGGGGGTGCTTTCGAACTGCTAGGTTGGCAGGCGCTGGGACCGAGTAACGGGAGCGCACCCCGCCGCGGGGATTCGAACCGCCGACCTTTCAATCGGCAAGCCCTAGGCACTGAGGCTTTTACCCACAGCGCCACCCGCGTCCCTTTTAACAAGTAACAAGTAGAAAGCTCAAAAAAATGCAAACGTTTGCCTCTGTGCGCCTGGAAATGAACTCTGAAAGTTAAGAATTATAAGGGCTTATGTTTCTTTGGTACAAATGCCAAAGAGGTTCTCCCCCCCCAAAAGAAAAAAAACATTTAAAGTGATCTTATGTTAAAACATCACTATTTATGCAGGCATAATGTCTCACAAACTTATGTTACACATTTTCAAACTTCATAACCTACACAATAGAGGTTATTCATTTAATATTGTTATAGGCATCACAGCCTCCAAACACCTCTTTTTTCCCTTTAACCTGGAAACCCAGGGGAAATTTGGCCTTGAGCAAACCCTCTCCCCAAAACATTGCTGCAGAAACCACGGCAAAATGGCTTGGGGCGGGGGGCGGGGAGAGAAGCAGCGGAAGCAAAGACAGACTCGTGACTCTTCTGCCATTGCTTGTTTATTTTTCATCAGACAGTATTCTCGAACCATCACAGGACTCAATACATCTGAAGTTAATCATCAATAACGGCACAGTGCGAATCATGTTTCCTTAGAGATATGAGCTTTGCAGGGGGGTGTTCATAATTATCTCCTTAGAGTTAAGTTTTTTTTTGCCCTCGGGTGCATTTCACAGTTTGCTTGCACCCCTAGCTTTTCCCATCAGCACAGCTTCATGAGTGTCAGATTCGTTTCTGCTTTTGTAAACACGGGGGGGCAGAGCGTTGATGGTGGGGGTGTCCTTACCCCAAGCAAAAGCATTGACAGCTTGACTAAGGATGCAGATGTATTTGAGATAATGCCTTGTGGACATGGTTCAGCATTGGAAACTCATTGGTTTTAACTAGCGGTGGGGTTAGGCTGCATACCACCTTGTGATATTTTATATGAAAATGCAGGATATTCAAATGAAATGAAATAAATATTAACAATGACTAGCAAGATGAATATGTATAGTGACAAGCAAGCTAGGTAGAGAGAAATGGAACAAGGTGGGGAAACAAGTAAAAAAATGGCCTAATGGGGGTATATTAAGTGTTTATCTTAATCTAACTTCAGTTGCTTCATTATCATTGTTTACTGATCCATCTTCAGCTTTAATTAAACATATTGCACAGTAAATCAAACACTTCTCCCTATAACAACATAACTGGTGACCATCTGCCTGGGCAAAACCTCAGTAAATTTGTTATGTATCCCATACGGAATGCACACTAAGTGAGAAGCTGACTAAGGAACATTGCCCTATACCTCTCCTGCAGTCAATCCCTATCATGTTACAGTAATAAACAATAAACAACAACAAAAAAACCTTCCCAACTTTTATTTGCCTTATCTGGGGCTGCAGTTTACAATAGTTGGACCGTTGCTGCCCCCAAGTGGTTATCCACTGGCATGGCGGCATTTGCCTTTGGTTAGGTCATGTAAGAATATTGCTGCAAAACTTTCATCATATCATCAGTAAACAGGAATTATATAACTAAGCAGATGGGAAGGTTCTCTCTTTTTTTTTTTCCTGTGCCGGGAGTCCTACATATTTTATTCTGCTAAAGACATATTTTACTATAGAGGATGAGAGAAGACATAGAAGGGGTTCTGATAGTGGAACGTCTCCACCCCCATCGTTCAGCCTGGACACTGAGGTCCAGCATCGAGGGACTTGTGGCGGTTCCCTCACTGCGAGAAGTTAGACGGAACCAGGCAGAGGGCCTTCTTGGTAGTGGCGCCCGCCCTGTGGAACGCCCTCCCATCAGACATCAAGGAAATAAGCAACTATCTTAATTTTAAAAGGCGGCCCTGTTTAGGGAAGTTTTTAATGTTTGATGCTGTAAAAGGTAAAGGTACCCCAGACTCTAGGGTTGTGCGCTCATCTCACTCTAGAGGCCGGGAGCCAGCGCTGTCCGCAGACACTTCCGGGTCACGTGGCCAGCATGACGAAGCTGCTCTGGCGAACCGGCACCAGAGCAGCACACGGAACGCCGTTTACCTTCCCGCTATAAAGCAGTACCTATTTATCTACTTGCACTTAAGGGTGCTTTCGAACTGCTAGGTGGGCAGGAGCTGGGACCGAACAACGGGAGCTCACCCCGCCACGGGGATTCGAACCGCCGACCATGCGATCGGCAAGTCCTAAGTGCTGAGGTTTTACCCCCAGCGCCACCTGCATCCCTACCGTTTGATGCTGTATTGTGTTTTTAATATGTGGTTGGAAGCCACCCAGAGTGGCTGGGGAAACCCAGCCAGATGGGTGGGGTATAAATAATAAGTTTGTTGTTGTTGTTATGATAATGAGGGCCCCATTTGGAAACAATTGATCAAAACAAAAGATAAAACAGCAATTTAGGCTCCATGGAACAGAGCCTAGAATTGTGCCCATTATGTCTTGCATACAAAATAAAACGGTTTGACATTGCAGGTCCCACCTTAACCATCCTACTCATCTCAAAATTACTCTGGTTTTAGTTATCAAGATGCTTTCCTTATTGGCATAGTTAGTAATCCAGGTTTCACAAATGCTATCAAAAACCAGAAAACACTGAGAAACATTTCTGGTTCCACTGTTAATCCATCATCAACAAATAAAAGATAAATCAACACGAGTGCATCACTAGAGCGTGGAGAAAAAGAAAGACCCAATGGTGATAGAGGCTGCTTATTGAAGGGCCACTTTACCCCAGCATAAAATGTTTGGTTTTGCATGCCAGTCTATTACCTAAATATTATTTCTTATAAAAGAGATAAACCTGTCTTTGGACTGCTACCACTTCAAGACTGAACTTGGGGCGTCACTGGGTTGAAATGGCCTTCCGAGCAAGGAAGCAGCAAATTCATCCATAGAGTTAGAAATGTTAGCAAAGAGAGAGAAAGAGAAAGGAGTCTGCCAGAATCCTTTGACCTGGCCTCTGACATTCAACCATGAGAGCCGACACTGCAGTCCAGAAAGAGATTTCGCTCCTCATGTGCTATTTATGAGAACCAGGCTTCAGAAGACAGTGTTCTCTGAAGTTACATATACACAGCCTCATTCCATATACTAGTGTGTCTACCTAACAGGCAAAAATGCTATTTGAAAATCAGAAACTGTCAAAATCCACTTGATTTTCAAACTGAGCATTTCTATAGCACATCTGCAACTCAGTTTTAAGCATAGTTGAGTCATTAAGGCTGTAATCCTAACCCCATTTATTTTAGGAATAATATCTTCACTGAATTCAGTAGTTTATTTCACTGAAATGGAAAAGAAAACACAAGCTTTCTGCTTTCATCCAGAGTGGAACCTCTTTTATGGTAAACTTCTCTTTAAAGGTAAAGGTAAAGGGACCCCTGACCATTAAGTCCAGTCGTGACCGACTCTGGGGTTGCGGTGCTTATCTCGCTTTAATGGCCAAGGGAGCCGGCGTACAGCTTCCGGGTTATGTGGCCAGCATGACTAAGCTGCTTCTGGCGAACCAGAGCAGCGCACGGAAATGCCGATTACCTTCCCGCCGGGACGGTACCTATTTATCTACTTGCACTTTGACGTGCTTTCGAACTGCTAGGTTGGCAGGAGCAGGGACCGAGCAACGGGAGCTCACCCCGTTGCGGGGATTTGAACCGCCGACCTTCTGATCGGCAA